GCAGCCAACGTGTTTTCACTGAGATCCACCGTCACCGACGACAACCGTTCACCTTTTGGTGTCCTTTGGTCTTCCTCAGCCAACAATCTCTCATTCCAACTGTCGGCGATGTGTTTCCCACATTTCACAATGACCGGTCAGACCTTCAGCCATTGTCAGCTCACCATGAGTGGTTGAGCTACGGTTGCCCGTTAGGCAGAGGCGAGACTAGGATTCAGGCTATAGTTTTCTTCGCGTAAACTCTTGACTAATTGGATTATTAATTACACATTGAACATATGATTTGATTGTTGTGTTTTGTCATTTGAGGATTGCTTTGCTCCAATACGATTACAATACGATGCATGATTTGAATTATGAAATGCTTTGTTGGATTTGTGTTCATTGTGAAATCAAATTGATTGCATCTTTAATGTTGGGTTTGAAAGTTCTGAATGATGGATTATGGTTTCCAATTGTTTTGATACTAATTACAATCTTGCTATATATTGTCATTCAGTAATGTTTCTACTACATATGATTTCATTCAAGTGTGATAAATTTGTGATTGTATTACAGAGATTATGGATTGTGTTTATTCTCTCTTTACCAATTAGTGGTTTTAATTGAGTGAGTCTCTTTGTAAATTAAAGATAGTCTTTAACCAATCAACATGTAACTAAGACAATAGGGAGACGTGATAGATTACACTTGGTTGTGGAGAGACTTTTTATGTGATTTGCCTAGCCTTGTAGGTTTAGGAAATCTAAGAGTGAGAAGAAGAATTGTGTGCCAATCCTGAGTTAAGCCGAAGCCTTAAGGCAACACATTTAATATTGTGTTTTAGTTAGTAATTCGACTTCCTGAAATTATTTTCTTAGGATACTAGCTGATTAAAACTTGTCATTTTTACTTTCATTTACTCAATCATACTTTAGGTTGATAGTCTTTGCTCCCTATGGATTCGGCCCTAATTACCGCTAACTACGTGACAACCAGTTCAACAAGGACTTCATTGTCCCTCATTTTACAAATTAAATGTGGTATTTCTCCAATCAGATTATTGTTTGAGATCAAAAATACTTTTATATTAGGTGGTGGAACTGGGGCTGGTCCTTCAAACAAGTTGGAACGAAAGTCAAGATATTGAAGGTCCTTCCATGGAAGTCGTTTAATGCCTGTCAACAAGTTTATGAAAAATTAAACTCTAAATAATATTTGTTAGTCTGATCCTCTATTTTCCAAAGTTCAAGAGTTTGTACAAATACACAATTAAACCAAAATGTGCATAAGTCTTATAATAAATTTTTGGAACGAAAGTCAAGATATTGAGGATTGCTTTGTTTCAATATGATTACGTACAATACGATGTATGATTTGAATTATGAAATGCTTTGTTGGATTTGTGTTCGTTGTGAAATCAAATTGATTGCATCTTGAATGTTGGGTTTGAAAGTTCTAAACGATGGATTATGGTTTCCAATTGTTTTAATACTGATTACAATCTTGCTATATATTGTCATTCAGTAATGTTTCTACTATATATGATTTTATTCAAGCATGATAAATTTGTGATTGTATTATAGAGATTATGGATTGTGTTTATTCTCTCTATACCAATTAGTGGTTTTAGTTGATTGAGTCTTTTTGTTAATTGAAGATAGTATTTAACCAATCAACATGTAACTAAGACGACAGGGAGACATGATAGATTATACTTGGTTGTGGAGATACTTTTTATGTGATTTGCCTAGCCTTGTAGGTTTCGGAAATCTAAGAGTGAGAAGAATTGTGTGCTAATCTTGAGTTGAGTGGAATCCTTAGGGTACTAATTGATTAAAACTTGTCATTTTTACTTTCGTTTACTCAATCTTCTTATGTAATTCACTTTATGTTTATGCATCTTTATATTTCTCCCATGCTTTCCGTTGGTCAAAAATCAACCACAACTCACTAGAATTCAAAACTTGTCTAATTATACCAATTCAGGAAGACCAAAATCGCGGTGAAGGCGAGTTTGAGACTGAAGAGCAAGAAGCAGGGAAGAAATGAAAAGTTTTTTATGATTATTCTGGAATTCTTCTTCCTTGCAATGGATCCGTATGATGTACATCCATATCTAGTTCAAAACATAGTCAAATTGGGAAGAGATTTTAGAGAAATATATAAACCTACGTTCCTTCAAATTTTTAAACAATGGAGTGCGAAAGATTTAATGGATAAATTAATCATGCAAAGAAAGATTATTTATCTTACCAGCCATTTCTGCCCCCTCTGAAGATTCAATTCAAATGATTTAGTCAGGAGATCATGCAACGGAAAACATACATTTGAGATTAATAACATAGAAATAAAATCACACCACAAAAAAACACATGACATTTACATGGTTCAAAATAACCCGGCTACATTCACGGATGAGAGAAATCCACTATAGTTTTATGAACACGATATACAAAAGTACAAGACACCATCATAAATCTGGTATATAATTAACAGACCAGTACCTAAAGTGAAAACAATCCTAATTTTTAAGACACTCTACCCATGGTGTATAATAGCCCTTACATCAAATATCTTATGTTCTCACATTCTCTCATAACCTTGAATTGGTTTTCACCCCTATATTTATACACAATATATGGGACATTATATTTCTACTAGACTCATATTTCAATTCTTAATAGGACTCTCATAATTCTATTTCTATTTACCATTGTATTCTTTATTAAAGGGTTTTCCTATGCGATTGATAAAATCATAGTTGAATGAACTTGGTTAAAGACATACAATTTAACATGAGAATAAATAGGAAAATGAGCCACAATATCCCAATAGATTCTGGAGCTTTCAGAGTTCTACGGGAAGCTAGTTGGAAGGATGTTCGTGGTCCCAAAGTCAGGTAGTTGGAAGGATTTAGTAAGCGACCCAAGAACTTTGAGCTCTGATACCAATTGTCACGACCCTATTTATTTGCCCACTAGATAACTCAAGCTTGCTAGTTTTGAGAATAAGAGAGAACACTCACTCAAACTCATAAGATTATGCTAAAGAAAAGAGCACTCTTTATTACTTAAGCTTACAATTCTTGGATGGTTTGGCCAAATGAGGCCTCCCCTATTTAGAGCAATCTTAACTTATTATGAACAGTCTAGATTTACACAATGTTCCACATTCAATGGTGAAGCTTTAAGACATAAAATCTTCTACCAACTACCAATAATTCAAGAGATATCTACAAATGTGTAGAGAATTCAAGAGAGTTCTAGAATTTTGTGAAGGGGGCTAGATCTTTTCTAGCTTGAGATTTCCACCAAGTGTTTAATGAAATACTTGTGAGACGTCACACATGGCAAATAATTGAAAAAACTAATGCCTTTGTTATGCCTAAAATATATGCTGACGTCATCTCTACCAATTAGCTCTTAGTAGACATCTCCACCAACCTCCTATTCAGAATGATATTTTATGCAGCCATTTGCCAAAATTTCATTTAATTTAAGGATATGAATGAAAGCTCCAAACGAATCAAAAGGAAGGAAAATCTTCACCAAATCAAGATAACTTATAAAAATACTCATTAACTTAAGCTGAAAAGAGTATAAATAGGCAGCTCCTCTCCTCACAACGGGATCGATTATCGAATTCACATACTTGTTTTACAGAAAAAAATAGCAAAGATACACTACTAGAAAGAGACTGACTTATCATTCTCCTAGAACACTTCAAATACTTGTAATCCTTGAGAGATTGTTCTCTTTGTAATCTTCATTAGTGATCACAAAAGAAACCATAATGCAAACGTAGTAGATGTAGGACTTGCTCATAGCATTCGAACCATGTAAAACTCTCTCTTGTTAGCTTGTTATTTACGTACTAACTAACAAGCATCATCACTGCACCATAAATACATCTCACAATTACCTCATGTAACTTCTTAGTATTTTGCATATGCATAGTCATTGGTGTCAAAATCACGCATCAACATACTAAAAAAATAGTAATAACACTCATCGCTACTTTCATTGTCGCTAGTTAATTTCAAAGTCTTTTATTACTATAAAATATGCTAATGACCCGTGAAACACAGTTTCAAATTTCTCAATTCTTGTGTTAAACTGACAGTCAATTTGGAAAAAGTAGCTTTGAGAACTTTGCTTTCTTCATATAATTTGCAGGTAATTTCCTGGAATGGTGCTCTGCCTCCAGACTTGAAAGATATTTCACCGTTAGAGGTCCCACAGTGGACTTCTAAGTCAATAAAAGGATAAATGGTATTTACACTCATTAAACTATTAATTTTTGACTGTTAATTTGAATAAATAAAGTCTGGGAGAAAATGAACATAATACAATGGTTTCATTTTCATATGCAAAATCAGCTCATCAACGAGCTTGACTTAAAAAGTTTTACCAAGAAATTAATTAAACTTAAAAGACAGTGCAGACCTCGTAGGAAATGACGAAAAAGTCCTCATCACTCTTGATAATTCCTGGGAAATATTAGGCTTAGAAGAAATTGGGAAACTGGGTTGAATCACGGTTCTTAAGGCACTGGACATTTCAAGAGAATGCAGTGGCATGGTAACTGCAATTTTGACAGTTTCAAATGTATTAAGACCGAAAAATTTAGACTACTTTGGAATTCTATATGTTGATGATATTGAAGAATTCCCAATCATTATATTTTTTTTTTTTTTTTTTTTTTGGGGTTTCCGAATGGACATTGTTTTTCTTTTGTTGAATTAGTCCTGGTTAAAACTAGGGGCTAAAACATGGTTTATCAGCAAACTGTGATTGTTCCAAGATGTGCTGACTAAATTAGACCATACAATTACAGAACCTTCTGTCTATAAGGGCAAAAGGGTTTGTATAATTTGAAGAGATCCGGACAATTGAATTTAAATTCATAAGAGAAAGAACACTGAGGCAGAAGGAGAAAACAGTTTGCTATTGCTAAAGTCGATTACATTATGTATGGCTGATACATGATTACCAAAAGGAGAAAACTACTTTCAAATACTAATTTCTTCTTCTTTTCTGTTTGTTTTTAATCCTTCTCACCGTTTTGTGGGAATTCCCTTCAACTACGTTTACAAGCCATTGAGGCTTTCCTGTTGTAAACACAAGACATCCAATAATCAATCCAAACCCCGTCCCACATCCATAACCCATCAACACAACTTTCCAACCAAAATCTTTATTAGAGTCTGTATCATCCTCAATATGAGGTGGATAGGAAGGGTCGCTGCATTCTGTTAATGGAGGTCCACATAATCCCAAGTTTCCTTCGTACGAATCACTTGAGAAGGTATTGAATTGGTTCCCTTGAGGAATAAGTCCCACAAGTTGGTTATGTGACAGGTTCAGCACAGAGAGAAATGTCAAATTAGTTAACTGCCATGGAATTCTCCCGCCAAGTTTGTTTGAAGAAAGGTCTAAGGATTCGACTCCTTCCAAATTGCCCAACGATGGAGGAATCTGACCTGTAAGACTGTTTTGAGAAAGGTTGAGGTGATTAAGTCTCGAAGCTTTCCAATTACTTCTGGAATCTGACCATGAAAGCTATTATTTGAGAAATCAATGGTACAGAAAATAGTAAATTTTCACTAGTTTAACCTCAAGCTTTTTCACTACAAGCGTCACTGAATCATCATAATACCTGTCTCCCATATACGGAGGCTTCTTTTTACACTTCACCACTAACACTCATCATGATTTCATATTCTCAAAAACTCACAGGTAAAAACCATTAAATGTTGTTCGAGATATCAAAAATTCTCAACTTAGAGAAAGAAGTACACGGGCTTCAGGATCCGTTACAAGACCGAAAATTTATTAGAACGAAGAACAAGAACCTGTAATGCCGGAAGGCTTCCCAACCATTTTGGGAAGGACCCGTTTATGTTTTTATTTCCCAGATCTAGACTTCCAATTTTGTACAATTAAGCAAAGATGTTGGGATTGGCCCTTTCAATTCATTGCCATTGAAGTTGAGGGTCCTCAAGTCATTACCCTTGCAAATAATCCAGAATGGTGCCTAGAACTATTCTCCTGCAGATCCAACACGCGCAAACTGTTGCTGAAGTGTCCCAAGCATTCTGGAATGGTACCCGTCAAGCTATTGTTGGAAAGATCAAGAACTTCAAGGGTACTCATATTGCAGATTAAATGAGGTATTTCTCCTGTCAGATTATTGTTTGATACTAAAAAGACTTTCATGTCAGGTGGCGGAACTGGAATTGGTCCTTCGAACAAGTTGGAACGAAGGTCAAGATATTGAAGATTCTTCCATGGAAGTTGTTTGACGCCTGTTACAAGTTGTAGGAAACATATATGTAAAATTGAATCAGATCTATAAACTCTAATAAATGTTTGAAAATATATTTGGATCACGAATCAAAGGCACACTTAAGTTTCTTACAATTTTCCAAAATATATTTAACATGGTAGTTGTAAGATCAGTTAAGTTGTCAGCAATATGAACAATGGTAATGGCATCAACTCAGCCACACCGTTCTGAAGATAATAGAACCCAGGAACTTCCTTTTGTCTCAGCCTATGTTTTCTGGAATTCTTGAGTCAGTTGACTATTATAAGTAATTTTTTTCACACACCGATTCTCCCATAATCTATTTTTATATTCGAACTCAAAAGTAACATGAGTTGTTTTTCACAATAGAAATCTGCTTGCGATTAGTAAAATGCCAAAACGACTTCCAAATAATTTATTATTTTAAAAAATAAAATTGCAGCAGGCAACTGTTATCATTTGCAACCGCCAACTGGCCATCGAAAACCGGCCACCAATATCGGACAATATCACCGATGGGCGTCCGACAATATTCTGAAAATTATTCTTAATAAATTACCAAAAAAAAAAAAAAAGAAAAAAAATGTAAACTACAGTTTATCAGGCAACCTATAACTTTGGGTTATAACTGATTAATTTCAAATGCACCCTGATTCCTAAATAAATAAATAAAATTCTCAGTATAGAATTTACATAGATAAGAAAAAAGGTCAAGATATTGAAATATGAGTGATTAATTTCCAAAAGACATAAATATTACAATTTTAAGTGCAATTAAATCAAATTGTTAAAAATAATAAAGGAAATAAAGATTGTTATCTTACCAACCGTTTTTGGCTGCTCATGAGCTGCTTTAAGAGTTCTACGAGGGAGGTCGGAGTCGGAAGAGTCAAGGCGATTGGAAGGATCTTGATTAAACCTTAAAAGATCTTGTTTCTCACTCTTGAAGAATCCCAAGTCAGATCGTCCACTGCAGAAGCTACTATTGATGGTTAAAAGGGCAAGTAACACAATAAAAAGAATGGTTGCAGGAGCAGCAACAATACTCATGGATTCTTTCATTGTTTCTACTTACTTACTCAGTCCTTCTTCTACCATAAATATGATGAATGAGCGTGTAAAACAATCTCATATTTCTCAGCTTGCGTGTTGACCTGGCAACCAATTTTCCAAAGTAGGTCCAGAACCTCATTTTTCTGCAAAAAAGTTGAATGGAGCTCTCCTGGAATATTGCTATGGGTCAAGGTTTTAAATGTTTACAGTTGTTCTATGTCCCACCGTGTACTCCTATGGCAATCAAGTCAAGTCAATTAAAGAAGGAATATAATTGCGGAATGAAAAATTCACACTTGTAGAGTTGTGTATTTCTATTTATCCATCGGAACCGAATCAAATAACATGTATTCTTATCCAAAATTTCTATTGCACTTACTGCTAAGATTTCCCCCAATTGAAAAGAGAAAATAATTAATCGGCTGTTTGCCAACCACCTAGTCGATTCATGACTGAATTGGTCATTTATAGTCTAAAATTTTAAGTAAAGGCCTGACATATTTTTTAGGATATCAATGTTCAAACTAATTTCTAATTCCATTCTATTCTAAAACGTTGCGTAGTTGGTCATTCTTCTGTTGGGTTTTTCCTCTTATATGGAGGAAGCCCAAAAGCCCATGTGGTTTATTAAGTCCACATGGAAAAGGGGCATTTTTGTCTGTTACTCTTAGGGATGGGGGAGGAAAGGTTTGGGATCCCATTCCTTGGCCCCGTCCTTGACCCCTTGGGGATTCCCCAGACTCGGCCCATCCTGTCCCCGAGGTCGAGGATGAAAGGGGGATCTTGGGCACGGTCCACAGGGATTGGGTTGACCCCCAATCTCGCCCCAGTCAATAAAGTCTTTGTGGGGTCAACGTTTATGATGGGTTTTAGAATTCTTAACTGTGGACTGGGTTTGGGCTTTAGGATTCTTGATTGTGGGTCGGGTTAGGATTTTCATGGGTTTTAGAGCTTAAGGCATTTTTTTTTTTTTTTTTTTTTTTTTTTTTTTTTATAAAAGTACATTAACATTTGTATCTAATTTTTAGAAGGACAAAGGCTTTTATTTGAATACAAAAACCATCTATTATTACTCATTTTTATAATTGTATGTGATTTCACTCAATGTTCCCACAATTATAATCATATTTGATCAATTAATAGTGTGAAAATAATAATTATTAAAGTGGTAATTTCGTGACAAATGTGATTTTTTTAGAAAAGAAAATGAATAAGAGAATTTCAAGCAAAATTATTGGACAAATTAATTACAAATATTATTTAAATGAAATGTCACAAATTAATTGATATGCAGTAAGACTTCTCACATTATTGAATATTGATAAAATTGCCTAGAAAATATCTTATATTAAAATTTTTAAATGAAATGATATTATTATTTTTTTTTAATATATATATATAGTGGGGCGGGACGTCCCCGAGGTCACNCCAAGCTTTTACCACGTTAATCTATTGTTGAATTTAGACAATATTAAGATAAGGATATCGATCTCCTGATTTTTAGTACAGTTTAATGCTTCCAGTTTTCATGCAGAACTTTTTCAATTAGTTGAAAAACTAAATAAAAGGATAAACTTTGCACTGTAGGAAAAGTTGAGAGATCAAGTGGATTTAATTTTAATAGTAACCCTAATATATATACTTGAACATTTTCAATAGTGTAAGACAATATGAAGATAACTTTAGGCTTTAGCTATGATAAAAATGAAATCATTTGGTTAGGGGACGGGATTGAGCTAGGCAGCTTAAGAAATAACAATAATGCTATGGATACAGAATTCTTGCACTGAAATTTTTTACCGAACAACGTGACATTTAGTCAAACACAGATACGTTAGATAGAAAACATGTCTCCCCATAAATAGACAACCGTCTAACAATCAAGAATAACCGTTCATACTTTATGGACGACCGTTCATCACGAATGAACAAAGTCTACAAAAATATCAATGGACTCCCGTCTATATTACATAGACGAGTGTCCATTTACTATGTCCGGACATCCATATAAGATGGACTAAGATGGACGCCTGTCTAAAAATTTTTAAAAACGAAATAATTGACGTCCATCCATGTAATACAGACGGGTGTCCATGCCGTCCATCGCAAGTAACTGAATTTACTTGAAGAGAAGAAATAAAAGGAATCGCATCTTCTCCAGTACGCACTATGCAAGCAGACATGATGACGGTTGACTCTTCTTCTGTTGGCCTATAAATGAGTTCATGGTAAACAGGCTGATCTTGGTTCATAGAAGTTGTCACTGTTGCCTATAAATTGCCATCTATCTCCAAACTGAAACTTGGAGGCCTAGATAAGCCATCATAGTCACCATAAAAGAAACCAGCCCGAAATAGAAACTTAGTATGGGAAACTAATGGCAACTTGTAGCAGTTTCTGCGGCCATCAGGGAAGAATCGAAGGGCATTCATCTTATCAAAGATTTTGTTGGGAGTGAGCAGAACATTTTTTCCGGATTATATGAACTTTTTATCAGTGTGCCATAAAGTGAAGCCATCATCGGCTGTTGATGAATCATTTGATGATCCACAGTTAATAAACAACTTATTGTAGCCCGATGCTGAAGAATTCACCCATTTTTATAAACTGTTCTGTAAGTACAAGAACTTGAATTCGAGAAAAGAAAGAAATTAAAGTCCTACAGCGGTAATTTGAAGATCTCGCCAAGAGCACTGCACAGAGAAATAACAGCACTTGTAACTATTAACTAACCCCAGTGCTCCATTTCCGAATAACGAAACTTATGTAAGATTCTTTATGGGAAGGATTATATATGATGGGCGTTAATCATTTTGTTTTTAAAATTTGTTGAACGAGTGCTTATAGTAAATGGACATCCGTTTATATAATATGGACGGGATCAATTGATATTTTTGTATACGCTTGTTTATTTGATGAACGATTGTCCATAAAGTATGGACGATTGTCTATTCACAGGAGAAGTGTTTTTTGTTCAATATGTTCATGTTTGACTGGATATCACGTCATTCGATAAAAAATTTCAGTGTAGAATTTCGGTGTCCGTAACATTATTGAAAAAATAATTAGGCGTCTAATCTAAAGCAAAATCATGTTGAAGACAAATTTCTGATGTTGAAACCTTTGGTCTGCCAAATAAATTATGCAGCTTGAATGCTTCATTTTTATATTAGAAATATTAATTGATCCATTACTTTATTTGCCAATTTTTCTGAATTAAGATTTGAGCATCTATGAGATGAAGATTTTTCTTAAACAACTTGTTTTTAATAATTTTTTCTTGTAACTACTTTAAAGTTGTAACTTTCAATGGGGTTCCTCTTGCAAAACAAATTGAGACGCAGTTATAGACTATTAGATAAGGATCACGGAAAATAAAACAAATATAATATAAAATAGAGTAAACAACATATTCCCACCACCACCACCGCCCGAGGTTTAGCCGGCTAATTTTAACATATTTAATAGAATACTACGATGCTAAAGTTCCTTATTTTAATCTATAAACGAGGTACTCTCAAGTTTCAATAAGACAATAACATTTGTCTTTTGACTCCGAAGACAACTCTTTCTCTGTTTCCAAAGATGGCTCAACGGTACACAGTCAATGTTCTTGAACACAGCCATGTTGCTCTGCCTCCGGGCTCCGTATCCACAACAACCGTTCCTCTAACTTTCTTCGATGTGTTATGGCTTTTTTGTGGCCCCATACAGCGTATCTTCTTGTACGAATTTCCTTACCCTACTCTTCATTTCATAGAGACTATCCTTCCCCATCTCAAGCACTCTCTCTCTCTCACTCTCCCTCATTTCTTCCCCTTGGCCGCCACACTGACGTGCCCTCTACCACCCAACAAGCCATATATTCGTTATACTGAATGCGACTCTGTTTCGGTCACGGTCGCTGAATCGGACGCCGATTTCCACCATCTTATAGGCAACCATGCACGAGATAACAGAGCTTTTCAGTCACTTGTCCCAAAATTGCCAACGGTCAGGGTGTTACCGGATACCGAACAAGTGGCGCCTATTATGGCTCTGCAGATTACTATATTTCCAAACTCGGGTATTTCCCTCGGTATAACATTTAACCACGTGGCTGCTGATGGGAGGAGTTTCAATCATTTCATCAAATCTTGGGCGTCCATTTATAGGTCCGGAGGAGAAGCCTTAACCTCCCTTTCACTACCTTACCACAACAAGGACGTGGTCAAGGACCCAGGTGAACTTGCGTCTACTAACTTGAAGGATTTGTTGATTTGGGATTATTCAAACCCTTCCGAAACTGTTCCTGAAGACAACGTTCGCATCACTTTGGTTCTAAGCCGTGCCCGAATTGAGAAATTGAAAGAATGGGTCAAAAATCAAAGCAGAAATAAAAACGACCCGGAACTGGGGCCGATACGCTTATCAACATATGTGGTAACTTGTGCTTTCATGTGGGTTAATATGATGAGAATACAAGAGAAACTGAAAGAGGGTGAAACTGGTAGCGATCACTTCGATGAAGACACGCATTACCACTTCATTTCTGTAGCCGACTGCAGGGAGCGGTATGGGTTTGCGGTACCGGCAAAATATTTTGGAAACTGCCTGGCATATTTTTTTGTGTCAGCTAAACGAAATGAACTAACGGGGGAAAATGGGATAGCCATTGCGGCCCAAGCTATTGCAAAAACGGTTAGTGGATTGGAGAAAGGGCCATTAATAGGGGCAGAGCATTGGACTTCGAAATTGTGGGAAGTAGTGAAAAGTGGAGATCTTGTTACAGTAGCTGGCTCGCCAAAATTATGCGTGTACGAGACTGATTTCGGGTGGGGCAGACCAAAAAAGAGTGAGTTGGCTCACATCGGCGCTTATGGGTCTTTCTCTCTCAGTGAATGTAGAAATGAGGAAGGTGGTGTTGAGATCGGCTTAGTCCTCGGCCGAGACAAGATGGACTTGTACAACGAAATTTTTGTGCAAGGCTTAGAAAATCAATATCCATTAGATTTTGCTGCTTAATGTTTCAATGTTTGTTTGAGGGTACTGTCAGCTTACTGCTAATAAGATTGTAAAAC